CTTGCTTTATAGCCAGGTGGAAACATTTTATACTTTAACCAAATATCTGTGAAGCATTTTCCTGTGCCTCAACTCATTTGATCCTCACAAAAGTCCTGGAGCAGGTAGATAGGAGACTTGGTGGAATCCTTTTTTTTTTTTTCATTAGCCAGAAAACGGAGATTTAGAAAGTTTAGAAACTTGACCTGACTGAAAAGAAGTAAGAAATGGTGGACCTTGAAAATGACTTCATGTTTTCAAACTTTGCAGAATATAGTCAAACACTGCTGCAGTTAAATATTTTACCCTTTGTTCTCCCTGCGTGATCTACAATAATAATCTGCTTCATGTTGATATTTACTGCTGTGTTGCTAACAATTACCTGAAAGAGAAGTTGGGGTGCTTCACTGGGCTGGAAAAAGTTTAGCTACATCAGAAAGCAGGTCTAATTAAGCAAGTTTATCCTATATAATAAAAGAGTAATATGCAAATAGATCGAACCACAGAACAACCGAACAACCAATCAAAGCATAATATGCTAATGCTATGCTGAGGCTGCTCAACTGCTCACTATGTCGAGCACTGATCACCAGGGGGCAGACAGTCAACTGGTCGATCAGTCGCTATGATGTGCACTGACCACCAAAGGGCAGATGCTCCAACCTGTACGTTAGCTTGCTGCTGGGGTCCGGCTGATTGATCAGGACTAAGCAAGATGGGCTGGACACACCCTGGAGCCCTCCCGCGGTCCCTCCCCGGCCCAATGGTGCACCTGTGGGGTCCCTCAGCCTAGCCTGCGCCCTCTCACAATCTGGGACCCTCAGAAGATGTCGGAGAGCCAGTTTCAGCCTGATCCTACAGGCCACTCCCCTTGGGAGGGTGCCAGACACAGGGCTCATGGCTGGTGAGCACTGCTGTAGCAGTGCAAGCCTCTCTTGATTGGGACTGATTTGGAATGAGCCCACAGTAGGCACAGTGGAGCTGGGATGAGTGGGAGCACCAGGTAGGAACTGCAGGCGGCGTTGGACTGTGGGTTTTGGCCCAATCCCTGCAGGTCACCCAGAGGGACCCCATCCGTGCACAAATTCATGCACCAGGCCTCTAGTCTCTATATATAAAGCTCTCGCTGGCGCCAATCGCACACGTGGATTCCATCTGTCATTGTCAATCGTGAATTCAGTTGACACTTGTATTACAGAGAAAGGGTGAATATCTATATTAAAACATTTCTTCTAATTAATTGCCTTTCAATGTGCATGAATTCATGCACCCGGCCTCTAGTAAATTCATAATTCTTCACCCCTTTAGGCCCGTGCGTTCCTCCTTCGGCGATTCTAATACCCACCACTGTTTCCATAAAAAGCTTCTTTAGGAATGGCCTCACCCACTCCATTAGGGATGGTCCACGACTGCATTTCTGCAACAAATCTGCATAGTCGAGTGGAGAGACAGAGCCCACATGGGCCAGAGCCTGAAAGGTTTAATCCCCGGCCCTTCCCAGAAAACGTCTGTGTGGCTCTTCGTCCTCCTGGCTCCCACTTTTCCTCCTCCCTCGGCCTGTAGTCCTTGTCGCCCCTGGTCATTTCCAGCTCATTTTGCAGTTTCAGATTATTCAAAAGAATTAAATCAGATTCAGCTCGGGCATCGCCTCTTCTGTGATGCCTCCGGGATCAGGCACCTGGGTTCAAATCCCACCTCTGCACTTGGCTGTCAGGTGCTAGAGACTCAATGCCTAGTGGTTAGATGAGTTTGGGTGAGCTAGTAAAGCTCCGTGAGCCTCAGTTTCCCCATGTGTAAAGTGGGGATAAAGCAACCCTCCTCTGGAGCTATGGAGGGGCCAGGGGTGACTGTCATGGCTGCGACATCACCCCCTGACCTCACTGGTCTGCACAGCGACTGGCACTTCTCCCCACTCTCATCCCTACCCCGACTGTCACTCCCTCGAGGGCAGGGATTCTGTCCCTGCTATTTTGTCTTGTTCGTGCCTCCACCTCCACCCCAGCTGCCCACATGGATGCCCAGCCACTGTCAGCGGAGGGAATGGTCTAGTTCCTGGGGACAGGGACACGGGCTGAGGACACACCTGGTCGCTGCGGGAGACTCCGTAGCGCAGCTCATTCACAAAGTGCTCACAGTTGTCGCTGGTCAGCTTGTAGAGCATCTCCTGCCCCACCTTCTCCTCCGCCCGATGCACAATTTTGCTGGGAGACAGCGGGGAGTACTTCCGGTCATGCTTGTTATTGACACGGTACCTGTCTTTCCCGGCTACCACGGACAGCAGCTCCTTCTTCACTATGGCCTTGTCAGACCTGGAGACCATGAGTTTGGCCAATACAGCTCCCATGATGTCACCTGTGGTTCCCAAAGAGGAAAGAGGCCGATGGTTAGGGCTGAGAGCAGGCAAGCAGGCAGCCCCACTGCCCTGGGCTTCATCAGTGAGGATGAGCTGGGGAAAGGCCGGCCCCCTGCCTGGCTTCAAACTCAAACACAGGCCGACCCCCGCCTGGATGCCCTTGGAGAAGTCACAGCTGCCCCTGGACTCTGGCTCCTCATTTCTAAAGCCAAGGATGTGGATTCTTCTAAAGGCCCCTGTGGGCTCAGATGTCCCTGAAAGATGCAGGAGGGGCAGAGGGTACAGGGCACAGACCCCAGGTGCAGCCCTAGCCAGAG